CTGAAAGTGTCCTAGTGCTATTTTAATTATTTAGTGCTACTTGTCAGACTTCTCGTATTGTGTATTAAACCAAAAGAATCCTCCACAGGAAGCAGGATGAGTATATGCACTGATCCCTGTTACAGTGTTATCTCAGTTAAATTCACACAACTGTATGGTTCTATTCTCCAGCATCTAATATATCTCACAACTGGCTATTTACCTCTTAAGCCAAAGAAAACTACGCCCATAAATTATTCCTGAAACTTTGTGATTTTTCTCTAACTAAACTTATCTGCACAGTTTTCTACCAGCATTTCCAGTAACTATTCTGGTTGGTAACTATAGCCATTTACCCATAGCACAACAAAACTGGAAGACTTCCTGCATTCAGTGATGTAACAGTCTGTATAAATATGGCTTAATGTCTGGAAAGTAAAGTTTTTTTATGAAGAAGTTCCATTATTGCATCAACCAGCTGTATTGCATGAAACAATATTTACATAATTTTCTACCTGACATCTGTGTGTTCTCACAGGTACGTACGAAATTACTCTCGGCTCTTAACACCCAAAGCAAGCTAACATACTTCTGTAAACGGACAGCTGTTTGTGGTCTGCTTCCCATCTGTTTCCAGACACTTGGGTGATCTAGCAAATATTGTTGTTCCTGTAATGGTGTTCTAGTGAAGAGACAACTGTGCCATCAATGTCTTGTCTCGCCACTATTGAATGAAATACGTGGTTGGGCTGTCTACATCTCGACACGGATCCAGACATTTCATTTTCATCATTGGTGCAGCTGAAGCAAAAGATACAGGACATCCCTGTTCATTTGTTAGATAAATTCAAGACTTTGCCAAATTGCTATACGATGCTTGTATGATGGTATCTTATGCGTTGGTCCTTTTATTTTCTGATGCAGAAATCCCTGGAATCAGTGTCACTTTACATACATTCAGTTAAAATTAAATTCAAACAGTTTAACTTGAACGTTAGTTTTATAAAACGTAAATATAAATATAAACTGAACTATATCATGCTCTTGTCAGTGGCTATTGCAATAAACCAAAATTAGTTAATTAGCGCAAAGAGAAAGTATTGCTTTAAAATTATGTTTTTGAATGATAAATATTGCCGAAGCATTGAAATTAAACACGCTTAATATTCCTCATAAAATGATAGAAATTTGAAGATGTTTCTTTTTTTTCACAGTTCTCTTAATTTGTCAATTCAGGATGTCAAATAACAGGAGTACAAAAGTGACATTGCTCGTGTATCTTTTTTACCATAATTCATTACTTAGGAAACCTTTTCTCGAATACTAGAACTAATCACAAATATTAGACCAATTGATAGCCTTCTGATGGTCAATTCATTTCTTACAGGAATGGGCATCGCTTTGTACGTACTGGTAAAGATATATAGATGAGAGGTTTATCTCCTGGTTATTACAAGAACTACTAGAGCCCTGATTGACGATGTGATATATCAAACACTTCAAGTGAAGTAAGACAGTGTAGACTTTATTTTGGTTAATAGAGTCTTTATGAAAGCAAAAAACCATAAATCTATCTGTCATCGATGCTGTTTCTCACAAAACAAGGAATTTCGTGTCTGATATTGGATTATGCACTGTTATTTAAGGAATTAACCTGCTGTTATCAACAGAGATTGTGGTTTAGGTGAGCTGCAGTCCTGCAGAAAAACATTCAATATCAACTAATCAGAACCAATAAATAAGTGAAATACACAAGTACGTATAGAAAAGGAAATCTCAGTGCGTTAAATGTCTGTCTGAAGTTCTGTCAATGTAGCAGAAAAATCATAATATACAAATAACTTGAAGTGGCCCCATCCTGAAAAATCAGCAAGGCTAAGATCTGGAGGTCTTGCTAACCTTGTGAGTGGAAAATGTTTACTGATTACTCATTCTCAAAAAATTTCTTGACAATATCTTGACACTCCGTTCACAAATTTATATAAAGAAATTTCTCATTCAATACTGCTCTTTACTCAAGCATAGAAATGAAAATGTTCCAGCATGGATTACTGTCGCTGTGTAAAATTTATTATTTATGGGTTCATCCAACAGATGAGGCCCACTGATGAGTTCTGTTAGAATCTGACCCAAACTGTAATTTTCATGCTGAAGTAACCATTGCACAAGGGCATGTAGATTGCTTTTTCCCCTTAACGTTGGAGAGAAAAATTTACTTCATTAGTACAAAACATGTTGTCTAGCAAGATGTCATCAATTTTTACTCAACTCAAGAATCAATTACAAATGTCCAGCCATTTGTGTGCATCTTCAAATAACAATTTATGGGTTATATTTATCCTTTATGAGTACAGCCTTTCATGTTTTACTAATTACCTTTTAGACTGTTGGATGTGGTAGTTTGGTGCACTTGACAACTTCAATGGTGCTGGATTACCTAAAAAGACTTCCATTTTCGAAAGCAACTTCATCTACAGCTTTAAGTGTTGGGCAGCAACCAGTACAAATTGTTTCTGCATTTGATTCTATTTGTTTAAGTTATTTTATCAGCTTTCCAAAAGCCTAATTGCCACATATCATTCTTTACTTTCCACTTCTATGCCGCATCCGTTTTATTACTATTAGTGTAATTATGCCTTTCAAGAAACGTGCAAGTATACTGTTAGTTTTAAAAGCAGAATGAATCGAGGAATTTATGCTGGTGTTATACAGATTGTGAATTCTTAGAGGTATTAAGTTGGTGTGCAAATTCCACCATCAAATTTCTTTAGTGGCAATTATTTTTGGCACTCGAAACGTCTTTCTTATAGTCTCATTAGTTCATCTAAAATATATCAGCTCTCTGATGATTAGGTTATAAATTTTTTATCGGCGTTAAAGTAGGAAACTTAACTTTATAAATAACCCTGTATCTGTGGGACAATTAACTTTGTAATTAAATGTGTATCTGTATCTCTGTTGTTGCACTGTTATTGTTATCCACTGTTTTTATGATCAATAATATTTATCATAGAAACTTGTGTGTATGTATATATATATATATATATAGGCATCCAAAATATAAAATACATAAGTATATATATATATATAAGATGATCAAAAATATTAAAATGACCACCAAGTTCTAAATACTGTATTTTTAGTGTCTTTAGTTGGTTGGAAGCGCTTTCATCCAAATGGCCATAAAATATTTCATTACATAATGTGTCCAGTTCAATACACATACCTAAGTTTGGTGTACGATTTGATTTGCTTCTTAAAAAATATCTATGCTTTCAGTTTGATCTTTTCATGAATAAAACTTTAAATTCTAATAAAATAATTTACATCTTGTTCTAGTTGTAAGAGGTTAGACTTGCTGATGGGACATTAAGATAAACTTTTTCTCGGTAAAGATAATTCCCTGAGGATTATTTATTCATTATTGCAAGGAATCTCAACTAGAGTTGGATGCAAAATGTTCTGGTTTATGCATTAATTGGCTATGTTACTGTCATAATTTTGCTCTCTATAAGTCTTCGTAATACTGTATTGCCATATAATATACTTACTGTTTATTGGTTGATTATTTTATTTTTGATATATGCTTGGTTTTGATAATATGCGTTTGAAAATATCCAATATAAGTGCCATGGTATTTTGCAGACTTGGGTTATAAATGTATTGTTTTAAGTTGAGTTGTGAAGTTTAAATTTTTTATTTGAAAATAAAATTAATTATTATAATAGCCAGGACTACTATATGTAAAGGAGATGAGGGAGATACTGTGATATGTAGATATCACAAACTAAATCATTCTATATACTGTTTCTGTCATATCCCATCCAACCTGTTGAACCAGGGTGTTGAGTAAAAACTCTCGTCGGTACTGAAAACGTTTGATGGACATAAAATTATATTTTCTTCATTGCTTTCACTCGTAAGTTCATTGAATTATGAGAAATAATGTAGGAAAGTAACATAATATCTTTACTCGTAGATTTTTTTCAAAATTTTAGTACGAATTTCTGTATTTGTTACATGTACTACTCTAGTATGGTGTCCCTTGCTTTGAACTGTGCTAATCATACGATTATAGATAACACAAACGTTCATAAGTATGGCCCAAGGTTTGTCTGTTTTCACACATGGCTGACTTGCTAAGTAATTTTTTAGCTGGTCTTGGCGAGTTTTCTGGTATGTTGGTTATATGTGAAGATATCGAATTTGAAAATTCTGGTGTCCTTTTTCAGTTAAACATTTAATTAATGGGGTATAATTATAACATTCGATTAAAACCCTAAATTAATTTTTTAAAGATCTGCTCTTTGAAGAAAATAAACTTAGAAATAACACGGAACAAGAAGAGTGAGAATGCTACACATTGAGAGATAAGAAGGGAAATCCGTCATTCTTCCTGAAAAGGTCAATACCACTGGACCGAAAATTATCGGCTTTTTAAGATGTTCTTTCCCTATTCTGTAACAATAGTATTTGTGTTCGACAATAAAAAAATGAGAAAAGAAACTTGTCGAATTATTAAAGAGCTTCCCGTGAATTTAGTGGTATCACTATTCCTAATGTAAGAAATTATTTTATGTACAAAATCACGTAAGCTTCGATAATACCACTTAAATGTACGTTTTTATTAAATTTTAAACATTCTCTCTCTCCAATGGAATTCCAAAATTTTATGGAATTCCAACGGTATGTCTGCGGATTTACAACGCTAGAAAC